GTCAATTCCAGCTGACGATTCACAGGCTCATCGCTTTCTGGCGTTCTGAAGGCCTGCTGCTCCAGCTCACGTTGTAGGTCATGGACCTTGGCTTCCAGGCTTGCCCTCTGGTACTTCATGGCGTCCATGAGCTCTGCCTGCTGAATCTGCAGTTGCTGATTCTCCTGCTTCAACATCGCCAACATGGTCATCATCTCCTGTGGATTCGGTGGACCAGGGCCATAGGGATGCAACTGAACTTGCCATCCTCCTTGATGCGGCATAGGTCCCCTCCTCTCTTCATGGGGCATGATGTACCCAGGTGGGCCAGTTTGTCCAAAGCCTCTTGGAACATGTAGACCTCTTCCTCCAGGCCCGTTCCCTTGGATCTGAACCACCGATTGCTCTCTAGGTTGGGGAGGTTGCCGCCCATCGCTGTCACTTTCAGGCTCTTGTACTTCAGGTACCCGTGGTTCTCTTGTTCGTCCACGTCGCTGGTCATCTGGTACATGGTCGCCCACCAGTGCCGGTGATGGTGTCCCCGTCGTCGTACTCGTCTGTGGAAGCACTCCCACTGAACCCTCTTCTTTCGGTAGGAACGTGGGTCTCTCTTTCTGCACCTCCTCTGGCGACCTGTTCCCCAGACCAGGCTGCCAGATGCTCTGCCTCGGGACTTGAGCATATAGGTGAGGAGCTTGGCTCTGCACTTCATGAAGTCCCTTCAACTGTTCCGGCGTGAAGAGTGGGGTCATCGGCGTCAAGGTCGTAGGTGGTCCCTTCGGGCCTTCCAATGTCTCCTCCCCCCCAACATCTTCACCATCCTCCAGAGCAAGCTGCTCTTCTTCCAGCTGCCGATCATGTAGTGGGAGGCCTTCCGGATCGGCTTCTTCTCCTTCTCCATCATCGCCAGGTTGCCGTCTTCGTCGGCGAACCATCATGGCCATGGCTTCCGCTTGCGCAGGGCGGCCCAGCGATCGACCTCCTCAAGCTGGGTCTTACACCTTCAACCTTGGGCTCATAACCTGAAGGTTTCAGCCTGAAGACCTTTTTCAGGCTTGTGCAAAAGCGGCTTCCAACCGTCTCAGTTGGGTTTGTTTCAAGTGTCCGTTTTGGTACACCTTTCGTTTTGTGCGTGTCATCCTTTGCGGACGTGCAGGCAGAACTGAGCCAGATCTACAAACCTACATAAACCTACCACTTTCCGCTTTGGTCAAGAGCACAAGATCTCTTCGTTTGTCTGTACATTGGATGTGGTGCGCAAGTCGAGTGCAAGGGGGGGGTCGACACAACGGTGATCAAGAATTCACATCACTTAGAAAGGTCCTTTGCACTCCCAAGGTCCGGGGCAACCCACAGCAACCTGCCAGCACCAGGTTCCTACAGGTGGTTTTTTTTTAAAAGCTTTCCCTGACCATGTCAGACGAACGCCCACCATCCAATAGCCATCCAAACTGGGTGATGGACTGAGTTTGAGTAACTTTGAGTGACGAACTATCAACCTCTTAAAAGCCACGATTCCTGACCAGCAGGCATGTACTGGAAGTTCTCAATTTCTAGTGATCTAAGTGGATTTATTTATGGGCACTAGTGGGCAATCTCTGAGGTAACAGCACTCTGGAACCATCTTTCGTACACAATGCTTAGGAACAAGTCATAGAGAGATGTCCGCGAGCATGGTTGACTGAGGGATGGCCTTCATTCAAGCAGCAAAAGTGTCAAAGTTGTTTTTGGGGCAGCCCTAGGCCTCCAAGTACCTTCTGACAAGGTGTTTGGTGTGGGTTTGGAGGGTCCAAATACCTTCTGAGGAGGTACTTGGAGGTGTAGGGAAGGGGGCATTCACTAGAAAACCCATTTGTCCTTTGGAGAAAGCCATCCGTTTCACCACGCTGGTCGGAGTTTTGGGCCATAGCCAAGTCCTTCTTTTCTTTCATCTACCAGGAGACACAACGTGGGGTGCTGGTACGTGGTGGTACGGCTTTGTCGGAGTATGTGTCCGGTATCTGTCCAAACAGACCACCCTTGCAGAGTGTCCAAACAGGTCCAAATACACAACTCCTTGGGTTCTCCTGCTAGACGACCTTTCTTTCCGGTCCTAAATTCAAGCATGAACTGCTTGATGTTTCTCACACGATCTATTTGTAGGTGTCGCTTCGACATGGGTCGCCTTGTTTGAAACCTGGGCTGTAGTGAAGTGAATAAAAACACAGAATCCGTCTCAAAGATGAAACTACAACCCAGGTGTGTGTTCACTCCCGAAATTCTGTACCTCACAGCCATCTGCAGCTACAAAGATCGAGGTTCAGCAAGGGTTTTGAACAGCAACGTTTCAGGACATCAATCAGCTTCCACATATGGATACCTTCTCAAAAACCACGTCCACTTCTATTTGGATATCCTCCAACACTCATAGTGCACATGGAAGTTGGCCTATTGAGGGTCCGAGGGAAAAGGACATTCAACCTCAAAGGTCTGCACTTACTGCCATCGACTGCCGATGCTGGAAAGCATAGACAAACGCTTTTTGGGTGGCTAAGGCTATAGCTCTTCTTGAAACAAGGATACACGTACTCCTTGAAAATCATCAGGGTTTCGGTCTTCGCATGTGACGGCCACTTGTTTGGTATTCAGAACATGGCCCGATTTCGTCGGTGCCATGTCATCCACTTGCACCATGACAGTCAGGTCATTCATAAGCAATTCTCGGAACCCTACAAGGCTAAAAGGTAGTCTCCAGGCTGGCATCGAAAGGAATGAACAATCCTCACTTCACAACCGCTACATCCAGATTTGTTTCGGGACCTGGAAAGACCCAGGTGATTTTGTGTTTTCCCTATATGGTTAAATCCTCCCTCATACCTGGGGAATCGTGGGGAAGATGTGTGTTTTCCTTCTTCTTCTTCTTCTCAGGGTTCCTGGGAGCTGCAAATCCAAGAAAATGCTGATTCTGAACCTCAAGATCAGTTTGTTCCGGAAGGAGCTTTTTACTCTTGCAGCACCTTGACTCCTTGTGTAAGGTGGCTTACGAGGTGGGACCTGGCCAAGCATGAGTTCACGGCCTGGGTTTGAACTCAAGGAGCAGCTGGAGTAGCTCCACAAAGTCAGACACAACTTGAAAAAAGACACATTTTTTGGGGGGTGACTATAGAAGGTACACCTTGAAGTTTTTGAGAAACACATATTAATTCGATACACCATGGGTGAACTCTTTGGCCAGCTGCTCGGCTGCTCGGGGCGATTGAGTCGTCTGCCCCGGTGGCGCCACCGAACCGGAGAAAGCTCCGGCGGCTCGGGGGCAGTTTTGGGGAGCTGAGCCTTGGAGACGCTGAGGCTCGGGTCCGATCTGTGAGAAAAAGGGAGGGGGGTTGATTTCCTATGGGCTGGTTTTGGGGATCCCTTCTAGCAAATGGAGGTTGCCCTGGGTCGTGGTAGAATGTGACGGTTGAAGATTGTTCAACCACCCAGGCCTGAAGAGGTTTTACAATCCAAAGGGTGTTTAGTAGAGTGTTTTTGTTCAATCAACAGCATCATTCGATGGTAGAACATGGTTAGTTAATTTTTTCAAGGAATACTCCCCAACAAAAAACAGTAACCATTTTATATATTTGTACCATTTTGATGAATGACCCTTTACCACTGATCCTTCTGTTGAAAAAGCATCTATGTGACTCGCTACACCTGGAAGGCAAGGCAGTCACCACGCCCTAGAGGATAGCATTCTCATCACTTCAGCATACTATAGCTATAGGTGATGTGGGTCGAAACCTGATGACAAAGCCTGGTGTTCATGGCTGTGGGCCATCTCTACCCATGAAAGTCTCCAAGACGACTTCACAATGAATGGATCTGCCTCACCTCCTCTTCCACCTGCACCACCCTGCTCGGCTTGGTTCCACCATGTTCCGGCAAGCTCTACTTGCTCGATCCTTGAGCCATGTGTGTTTCCTATACCCGGTGTTTTCAGACGTCGGATCTCCAAAAGGTTCGGAAGATCAGACGACCAGAGCAGTCCACCTGGAGGATCGGCGCGGGTCAAAGGCGCTCGCCAGGGATTGCATTGGCACCCAAAAACCCCCGAAACAGGACCTCAACAGCGGCGAGGATGACAGGTCTCATTTGCAGAACCGTTGGAGCTGATGTGGAACTCATTTCTTGATCATCTTTGAGTTCTCACAAATCTGGACCCGTCTTGGCTCTCCAGGCTCGGTGAACATCTGGGTGGTGGTTTCAGATATTTGAATTTGTATGTTCAACCTTGGGATGCTTTTTCACCCACTGACGGAGTTTTTTGTTTTTTCAAGTGAGTTGAAACCACCAACCTCAAATTCGGCGACATGCAAAGTTTGCAACATTTCGCACGGCGGTTTCCAGCTTTCGAAGGACGTACAGGCCACTTAACGAGTTGGGCTGCCCGGCATGCCGTGCAGAAGTTCTGAAAACATGTCAAGCCTCGCTGGGGACTGCAGTCTGAAGAGCTGCTTTCTGCTATCTTGTGGGGGTCGCCCTAGGGCTCCTCAACCATATCCTCAGGTTCGTTGGTTAGAACGCCCTGGCACCCACTCCAACCACCTTCGAGTCCTACCTGTTTCTGATTCATGTGGAGTTGTCCATGCATGGGTCGACTTATAACTTACTCTGTAACATCTTACAACCAACTTGGGATCCTGCGATTGAGGGCTTATGCAAAGCACGCACTACGAGGATTCGGTTCACTTCCAAAGGGCAGGCTTCGCCAAGCATCCCATTGCAGGCTAGGCACAGGCTTGGCAACACACCCGCTCCAACCTCACGAGCCCATCCTGCACCGGCACCCGTCACCACCTACCAGGTCCACTTTTAGGTCGTCTCCATTTCAGCAAAAGCAAGAATTGGAGACCTCGGTCGTATCTATATATAGTAGCTTCTTGTTCGGAGTATTTCGGAGGCCATGGCCAGTAATGCAAATATCCATCCTCAGACTTCTCAGTGTTTCCACGGACCATCTCCCTCCCAACATCCATCTCCTCGCTTTCTTCGGCTCTTTCTTTGGCTCATGCCTCAGCGTTTGGGAGTGCTCCCAGCGGAGCGCGTTGGGAGTCCAGTCGGGGGGTGGAAACGGGGGAGGACGGTGATGGGCGATGTGTCGATCCATCCCCTACCCGGCCAGTGGATCACCTTGTAACGAGCCGTCCAGTCCACCCAAGATTTTGGGTGGTTTGGGAGATTCTTTCTGCGCTAGCGGCTAGGGTCACAGATAACGAGAAAGTCAAGAAACATGGAGATCATACACAACCTTTATCTTTATACTACATTGGGATGATTTTTCACCCACTGATGGACTGACCGAGTGTTTACTTTTTTCAAGTGACTTGAAACCACCAACGCAGTTAACCCTTTTGGGGTGATCGATGAACCAGCAGCTATTTTCCAGGGAAATGGCTAATGTCCGGCTCGAGAGTCAGATCCAGCTATAGCTTATTTATATTTGTTTATTTCATCACCTGAATCCGGAGCAACCATTGTTTTACTGAGGATTTTCACACTACAAACCCAGATCGTTCCCATTTTGAACGTGGTCGACTGGACTTCGGTCTGGATGGGAGTCCGCCATCGCGTCACGGCCGGAGGTTCCCTCGACGCGCTTCACCGGGGTTCATCGGGTCGTCCTGGTCGCTGAAGAAAGAGCTGAGGTGTTTGAGGTGTTTGACCTCACACCCTAAGGATCCAAGTACCCTCTGAGAAGGTGTTTGGGGTGGGTGCCAGGAGGGTCCAAGTACCTTTTGAGGAGGTACTTGGATCCCTAGGGACACATACTCTGCCCTGGGAGAATGGTCAGACTATAAAAAGAATGGTCTGACGACTGGGGAACTGAGTACGGGAACTTCCTGAAACCTTCAGCCGGTCAAAATATCATCGAACTCAACTTCTAGGGATCTGTGTATGGAATAGTCATGGTGGGCATTTTGATGGGGTAAATGTATGTACACTCCGACGAACACATCACATGGAAGTGGAGTTCACCCCCCTGTTTGTAAAGGAAAGTCGTCTTCCAAGAGAACATGCCATCCACTTCCATGTTATAAGTGAGTCGAGGGGACACTCATCGTTCGCTTTTCACTCATGGCACTTGGCCGTTGAATAGATCCTCCATCACAGGGCTTGGACCTTCTCCACCTTCAACGCAGGGGAAAACGGGCCCGGTTCCCAAACCCTATACCAGGACCCTCCAAGGGGTGTCTATTTATAGCCCCTTAGCCGGTAAGGGGTGTCCATTAACCACCCCTTGAAGGCCCTGGTATGTGTTGGTGAAGGAGCCCGGATTCTGAGTGATCAATTTCCTCTTCGGTGACCAAGACGTGCTGCATGTGTTTTCGTCGAAGTGGACGGACATACCTGGACCATCCCAGATCGTGCCGGTGGATCCTCCAGCCAAGGACACCCAGGTCTGGGATGGTCCTGGTAAAGATAGGTTGGACGTAAAGGCTTTGAGCCGTGGCTGCGTGGTTGCAGAATGAGTGCCTTGATCACTTACCATTGGAAGAACGGGGAGCTGATTGGAAGAAAACACTGGGTGCCTTTCACTTCTAAAAAAGCTGCGAAGAGCATCCAATTATCCAATATCCCTTCTTTTGGACCTTAGATAAATTAAACGACAGGTCAGGTCTGTTCAAACCCAAACAACCAGAAACAGTTCTGGTTGTTCCAATATGTCCAGGGCTCCAACCACCTCCTGGGAAGGTTTTTGGGGTCTAACAACCTTCTCAGGATGTGGGCCAGGAGCCCTAGGGTACTGCAGACAGTGGCTGAGACTGGTGGAGTTCCATCCAGGCTGCTTGGTCTCAACAACACGCTGGGCCGGCTTCACACCTCCGCCACGCGCCACTGGAGGCGTTCCGTCCGTCGGTCTCAGGTGGAATCTCCGTGGCCGCTCGCGCGCTTTGGCGCGGCCCATGGAGGAGGCGCGGGAGACGGTCGGTCGGAGACGGGACCGGTCGGGAGACGGTCGGAAAGCAGGTCACGGATGAGGTATCCTGGACCTTGATTCAAGGGGTGTCCTGTCTGGAGGTCCCTGTAGGTCGCGGGCTGGGGCGAAACCAGCCAGGTGACCCCGACATGAAGGTGCTGGAGACGATTTGTTTAAATGCTTTTTTTTTGGAAAGGGATGCAACCTAACCATCATCCACTATTAGGAATGGGAGATACCCAAGGCTTCAAGGTATACCCAAGTTGCAGGACTGAAGAATGGTCACCGAGGGCACCTGGATCGTTGGTCAAGAGTTCACAAGAACCGATCATAATACTGGGACAATGAGTCGAGTACAGTTGGCACACCTTCTTTCGTTCGGGCCTTTTCCCGTTTTGGTATACCTTTGTGGTGGCCAAGGATCGTTTTCTTGGGTTTTTTTAAGGCCCAAAACACCTCACGGTCCCCACTCGCACGCTCTGGAGGGAGTGCTTGCGGTGAAGAAAATCCTCCAGAGCCACGGCGAGCCACGCCAGGGCCATGCCAAATTCGGGCCGAAGCCGGACAAGGCTCGTTGATGGATTCAGTTCTTCACCCGTGGGATGGCTGGTGGCTGGAAGCTCCAGGAAGCTTTCCTGGAGCTGCGGCTGAACTGCTAGAGATCAATATTGTTACAATAGATAAACATTGTAGGTTGCCACCATTGGGGGGGTTGCAGATCTTGTGGAATTGTTCTTGATATTTATTCATAAGATCCTGGAATTTAAAGCATTGTTCAAGACAATAATTGACAATTACAACATTTTTCATGAGTTGTTTCAGCACATCTTAATGGCCGTTAATGGCAGCATGATCCTACTTCAAAATAGCCTTCACGCTTTGCTTGAACTTGTATTCTGCCTCACCAGTCCAATGTACAAGCTTCATCTTCGTTGCATCCAATGGCACAGCCTGACAATCTCTGACAATCTCTGACACCTGAGCCATGCCATAAAGCCACTTGCTTGTAATGAGTAAGGTTCTTGTCATAAGAGCACAGCTCACCTGTTTAGACCCCATGTCGTTAGAGATCCTCCTACCGGAGATGCTCCCTTCTTCCACCTTCTTCTCCGCCTCCTTCCACGACCGAAGACGTCCAGCGCTCCGAGCAACAACTCGCCGGGAACCGACGACGGAACCGACGAACGGCGCCAGGCGCAGTTCCAGCCGGAGGCCGCGGGGCCCGACTTCTGCACGGCGGACCGGGAACCAGTGCGACTGAGGGCGGTGGACGGCGGGGTGTTTCAAGCCATGAAAAAGGCCAGGTTTCCATGCGGTGAAACAAGGGAGCCAAGGCTCCTGGGGGTCCGAATTCTGGGGATATGGGGCAAAATCTTGCACGAATCTGGCATGGACAAGATTCTGGTTGTTGTTTTTTTTCTGGGTTTCGTGGCCTCTCTGGTGGTCTTTTCATGACCTTTTTGTGCTGTGAGTGTGACTGTGGGTGCACTGGTAGTGTGGGGGCCTGTTTTTCTGTGTATACCAGGTATATATAGGTGCACTGGTAGTGTGGGGTCCCTGGTAATGTGTATACCCCGCATGTGTAAGTTCTGTATCGGTTCTGTATCAGCTCTCTCATGCTCGAGTTGGATGCCACAAACCCCTATCTCCCTTCGTCCAACACCACCGACCCGTCTGGCCTCTCGCCGCCCAGGGCAGGTGACGGGCATGGAGGTGCCAAGTTCGTGGATTCGGGTGGGTCAGCCGGTCTGAAGGAGAAAAGAAGGGGCGAGCAGCTGTCTGACAGCGAATGGAAACTTGTTGGGTTTTTGGGACTTAGGTTTAGTGGGTGGTCCAATTTCTTTTAAGATCGTGGTGTTTATGGTGTTTGGTTAGCATTTGGAGAGTGAACAGCCTTGTCGTGGCAAGCATCAAACGATGTTCTTTGTGAGCCCTAAGTCCTGCGTGGCGACTGGGTTTCGTGCAGTCTTTCCACACCAAAGCCCAAACACTCCATGTATGGAATATATGCCACCCCATTGACCCCTCAAACCACTCCAACTGATCGGCAGTCCTATGGCAGTCCCATGGAGCGTTTGGGAAGACCCTCGAGGGTCGCTGGTCTGCCCATGTAGTCGGAGGTCGCCGGGTCTTCTTCACAGCCACATGTGACCAAGTTGGCCTCCATCGACTAGAAAGGACGACTAGAATGGCTTCCAAGCCCATGAAACAATGTGTCTCAGGTGTTTCGGACAGGTTCTCCTTTTGGTTCAAGTCTAGTGCACCTGGTTAGCCTTCCAAGAGCATTAAAATAGAAACGCTGACCTGGTTTTGGTGGTCTAAAATCCTTGGTAAATCAATGCTTCTTTGGTAGCTTTGGTACTTCCCCTTGAAGGCCGCACCAGGTTGTTTTGGTAAAACAATAGGAATCCCACAGTTAGGTGTTTGTATTAAATTAGGGAGACATTGGGCCAGAGGGATCTGCCTATTTGCATACAAACCTATATCAAACCTATCAAATACATAAATCTTGCAACTGTGCACCATTTCTGCCTTTCTATCCAATATATAGTTGGATAATCCAGGTGTTGTCAAGAATTGTAAACCCAATCACTTGATGAATCTGTTTCCGCTCCAATTGAGGGCGCTACGCGGACAGCACGCTCCGCACGTCGCATCGACGGGCGCACCAAGCCCTTCCACCGGGGTCATCGAATCGACGTGGTCACAACAGTGGCACAGTGGTGGTCCATCAGTTGGCATGGTATCAGGAACTATCTACCACTTCCGACTCTGCACCTCAAACTATACCAAGTTAGGCATAAATGTGGAACAGTTGGAAGATCTAGGTATAGTCATACTCTTCCTCTATCTTCCAACGACGTGCATCATTTCCGCCTTGTCCTCCATAGTACCCAACCCAAAGGCAGGGATTTTGCATCGTGGGAAGATCCAGGTTTGTACATGAACTGTCCCAGCTCATCGACAGAGGTCAGCTGTTGGTTGATCTTCGCAGACTATCCGGCCTTCAAATCGGTACAGTAAAAGAGTTCGGTGGATCGGTACAGTAAAAATCCGTAGAATTAGCAAGAAACTCTGGTTGTTTGGTCTCTCACTTGCGGGCGATGTCACGCTTCTCACGGACCCTTCCAGAGAGTGGGTAGAGAGAAGATGAACATGGATGGATCTGGACAAAGACCATTCCACAAATGCTTGTTGGAATACCAGGGCTACCACACATGGAAAGAGAGGTTCGAGGAAACCCTGTTGGTTTCCTCGGCCACGCAGTTGGAACTGACCATATCTTACCCCTCAAAAGCCACACAAAGCTTCCTACCCAGGACATGTGGACAACCTGGAGCCTTTTTGCGGGATGAGTTCCCCACTAAAACCAAATAAGTAAAAAGCCGGTTAGCCTCTATTTGGCACTCTTGACGGGGAGGGTGCTGGAACTTGCAATGATGAAGTAATGGACCATTTCCATCCATTTCCTTCATCCACACTGTAAAGACGCCCTCCATGATAACAGGTGTAGCTGGGTACAAGTACAAGCACGCCCCACGGTGTTCAGATTTTCGAGTGTGCCCCACGTTTTTTCCGCCAGACTCTGAGTAATTTACTTTCCCTCCAAATGAGAGTCTGGTTTCTTGTTTTCAGAACATTTCTTCAACCGTATGTCTAAAGACTCCCACGATCTGTGGGTCTCGGCCTTACCGCATCTCGAACCCAACTGTGGGGATCAGGCCGTGGCGTGCAGCTCAAAGGACAGACCTCGGTTCGCGTGGGTTGCAGCTAATAGAGATTCTTTTTGTCCCTGGAGACGGGCTCTTAATTTGCGGATCTCCCAAGTCACCTGTTCTGTTTTTAAATGTTTTTTTTTGGGGTGCATCGGGGGGTGACATGATAAGGACGTTGAGGCCATGTTGCAAAACAATAGACATTCAATGTCAGAGTCCTTGTGATTGTCATCGCTACAACGGCAATGATCAGGTTCCTGCGATCCCTGCTCCCTGCAATGAAGCAGAGGAATTGGATGAACTGGCCGCTGACTGGTTGGCAATACCGTCTTGAATCCGTGATGCAAGTTCCACACGATTGGCTGGCATAGCTGCCCTCGGTGTGCCGGTTTTCAAACCCTGGAGACAGCTGCGGATCCAAACTTGGAGCCCTCAATCCTTCTATACGACCAGGCAGGTCTCGAGGCGTCCAATCCTGTTCATTTTCGGTGTTGACCACCGGGTCGGACACGACACGTCGACGGGACTACCATGACGGACTGCCCGCGAAACGGCCAGACCCCCTCATGGCCCATCCCAACTGATCGGCTTATATAGCAGTCCCATGTGGGTCGCGTCTGGGTTTGTTTTCTCAGCTCAACTCCAGATACACCTGGCTGGTCGCTGGCTGGCAGTCCCGTCGACGGGTCATGGGTCGTGTTGGGCGATGAAGGCTGTCGCCTCGACCGTCCTGCGGCCTAACTGGCCATGGCCCGTGCGGCATGAGGCTTCAAGCGTTGCTGTCCGACACATGGCCTAACGCGTTGACATGAAACCTCCCGGGGGGTTCGAATCCCAACTAGAAAAAATACTGCAGTTTACCAGGCTTTTGCCAACATGTCAGCATTTGATCCAGGAGTTCTGAAGGGTGTGTCATGCTCATGAACGACGGGCTCCTAGTCCTGTCCACTGAGGCCACCTACACTCCCCTGACATGATTCGCCCCCCGAGTTCGGATGACGACTTTCCTCCACCACCCACGCGGTCCAATCGTGTGGTTTCCCATGTCCCTTCCGTCTGGTCGTGCCCCATTGTCCCTCCCAAACACCTTGTTTCGTGCCGTGGGGGCGGTCAACATCTCCTTCGAAAACCTTCGACGACCCTTTCGGATCTTCCAGACTCGTTGAACGACTCCCGCCGGACGCCCCCAGCCCCGACCGCGGAGCCAACGCGTCGAAGTAGGACGAGGAGCAACACTGAAGCCTCGACCGGAGGCGAGGTCGCGAGCGAGAGGGGCGAGGGGCGAGAGGATTCGACACGTGCACCGGTTTGCAGCAAGGGCGACGCGGTTTCACGCAGGTGGGGGTGGGGAGCACGGCTCTCCTTGCTTGCCCTTTCCAAGATGTATTTGTTTTGTTTAGTAACTTAAAATGGTTGTAGAGAGTCTGGAGTAGAAACAGTAGAGACCATGTTTTACCAGGTGAAGCACCTGAATGATGGGAATTGGCAATTGGCAAAAATGATGGAGCTTGAAATATTAGACCCTTCTAGAGGACCATTTTGTTTGGGCTGTTGCCCTTATCAACCGAGGACCACTCGTCCCGCGGTCCGCTGCTCGCGGTCCGCGGTCCGCAGGGTGTGCGGGCGGTGCTGGTCGCCCATGAGGCCATTGCGGTGGATCCGGGTGAGTCATCAAGTATAACACCAAGCATCGTCGCCGAATTAACGATGTTCAAGAAACACCAAGCATCGTCCTCTGCAAAAACCATAGTCATCGTATACTATGTGCGTGTTGGTGATGTTGGTGTTTTTCATATGTTTTCGCATCAAGACCAACCACAATTAGTTGATATCATGTACAGTAAGCTTTTGGAAGATCCATGTATAGGAGGGCTCTCCAAGTAGGAGGCTCTGGGCAGGTGTAGTTAGTTGGTTCCTTCACTCAGGGTTCGATGCTTTAGGCTTCCCGAGGCTGATTCTGCCAATTCACCCATAAACGCCAGGAGCGTTGTGGATGTTGAGTGTTCAGTTCGATAGATTGATAGATCATAGACCAACAGAGGTTGAAGGACCCGAACTAGCCTATCCCAGGTTGGTACCCCAGTAAGGTCCTATAAGGTCACTTAACCTCTGTTGGGAGGCAAGACATCCAAACACTTTGCGCCCTGCGCCCTGCGCAGCAGGCCAGACGCCCAAGTTACCAGGGCCGTACGCTGCGAAGAACCACGTCGGACACACTCCGTACGCCTCGCGAGGAACGGGGTCCGTGGCACAAGGACTATAACGGTTACTGCACTTGGATGAACCTCCAAGGATTGCAAAAACCTGACGGCCATCTGGATGAACTGTTGAAAAAAGACATATCTGATGTTAACAGGCACCTGATTTTGCTAAACAAAAAGGAGGATTCTTCATGATTCTTCTATTTTCCACCATACCTGGGGATTGATCCCCCAATACCGTAGACCGGGGACGCTGTTTTTTCGCCTTGGGTTTTCGTGTCGCCGCGCCGGGCCCACCGGTCAGGCTGGAGCGCCCTCGCAAGGCGCGGCGTGGGCTGCGGGGTTGTCCTTCGGAAGGTCGGTTTTTCGCAGTTGGATGGAAGTCGAGGTCGGTGTTTTTTTTTTCATGTCGCAAGACTTGGGACTTGGGATGGGAATGGATGGGAGGATTTGGGACCCCCAAAGATGAGCAGGCTGAAGCGTTGATCGAGATGTACAGTATAGTTTGTCTAAGGATGATTCTGGAGGTGTATCAGACGAAGATTTGGATATGGCCCAAGCAATGGGTTGTGTCCATTTTTTTGCAAGGGAGTTTCAACTGGGAGCTCACCCTAATTCAATCTTCCTGGCCCAACATTGGTTCAATAGTCTGAATCTCGAACCACTGTTTTACTGAGGATTTCAGTACTATAGACAACCAGGTCAACATACCAGCGCCCTCCGACAGGTCACCAATTGAGACCTGTTAGGGTCCAACAACCCTCAACTAACAGCCTGTTGGAGGGTGCTGGTAGGTCAACCATTTTTTTAAAAACTGGTCTTGGAAGGGTAGGGAATTGGGTGCTCAGGGTATATCGACAGGTGACCAGGTGGGGCAACTCTTGATCGCGGTTCCTGGTGGCAAGGACCAAGGCTCTTCCGAACAGGTTGGCAAGACAGGACAAAGACGATACCCTATGGATCCGCATACCTTCTCTAGAAGGTGCGACTGGTGCCTCAGAGGTTGCCAGTGGATCCATAGAGATATAGAAGAACCTGATCCCCGTGACCGCTTGGAAAGACAGATAGAAGTTCTGGCGCGCAAGACCTCTGTCTCCGCAGGCTCGGTGTCGAGCAGCTCAGACTCCGAGGCCGCCCACCCGGGAACGACCGGGGGAGAGAGGAGGGGCGGCTTTCCGGTGACGGGAGGTCCATCGCGTCTGCGCGGCAGAAGGCGTGACTTGGGGCCTTAGGCGTGACTTGGCAGCTGAAGATTTCGAGAGAGGGGGATGGACAAAAAACATGCATCTAATGTTTCAACATGTGGCTGTGGCAGTGAGTCAAGATCACTATAGACCCCTGAGAATTTCCACGTCAGGCACCAGGGATGCATGTCTAGGGCGTGTCTATAGGTTTGATCCACACCCATCGCGTGTTGTCTTGTCTGCTACCCTCCTGCAGATTAACATGGCCTTCCAAGACCACTGCGCTCTAGTGCCACGGGTGAATCCTCAGGGTCGGTATTCTCTGTGGGCATTGCAACGACCGAATGTCACCAATTCTACCAGGACCCTCCGACCATCGGGGTGTCCTGGCTGGACCGGAGAAATCCCAAGAACTCTGAAGATGTCCGATTCTGAAGTGCGGAGACACCGACGCTTCCCCCCAGTGAGTGGATCTCGCACGCGACGCGCGGAAGAGGCGGACATGGCCAAGCCTCCGGGCGTGTGGGATGGTGTGAAGACGAAGCAGCTCGGAACGCCCAGCTTGGTGCGCGTGGCTTTGAGTTCCGTTGGAAGCCTATAGGTCTCCTCTCCCGTCGGTTTGGTGTGGGAGGGGCAGCGATGGCCCGTGCCGGAGTCGCTGGGG